CCCCCCCCCCCCCCAAAAAAAAAGGAAAAAAGATATGATAGTTGATAAGGAACATAGTTTACTACTAAAAAATCACCAGTTTATTCTAATTTTGTACTGTCATTACCAATTGAGCATAGCGATTATGGAACATGATTTATGACTCAAAGAACTACCATCTTCATTCTAGTAGTAATATCAGTCACAAACTTCGCAGTTCAGTTGACACACCCGATACAAGTCATATATAAATGAAAAGAACAAAACAAGTATACTAATTTATTAAAAGAAAATAAAGCGCGATTAAGTGACATGATTTATGACTAACAATTACCATGTTTATTCTAGTAGCAATATCACTCTCAGACGAGGCAGTTCATTAGCAATTCCAATACAAGTCATATATAACTGAACAAGACAATTATGCTTATTTATTAAAAGAAAATAAAACACTTAATAACATGATTTATAGCTCAAACAATTACTTTCTTCATTCTAGCAGTAATTCCATTCACAAACTTGGCAATACATTTAACACTCCCAATTAGGGATGCAAATGGATCAGATACGACTCCGATATGATGCTTATCGTATCTGTATCCGTATAAAAATCATAGATATAGATAGGAATATCTATGTCTTGGTAAGGAAAAGTCATATCCATCAGCTAAAACCGGACACATACACAGATATACATGCAGATATACATGCGTATAGAAAATGGATATGAGAAAACCAGATAAGATTATAAAATATATAGTTCATATGACATAAAAGAGATCATTAATATATTTGTTATATTTGAAAAAGCTAAGATTAGATCTCTTGATCATCAAAAGTGACCACATATACTGTTGCATGTAGAGATTTAGTAATCATATATGTACCCTAACAGATACGGAAAAAAATAGTTTTTTGCACTCTACTCCCAATACAAGTCACACTGTAAATGAACAAGACAATTACACTAATTTAATAATAAAAATTAAGACTTTGGATTGAGATGTCAAAATCGTCACCTCCTCTTTCCCAACATTGACAACCCTCTTCTCAAGCACACTCCCATCCTCAATCCCAAGCCTGCTCATCAACCCCAAGCTCTCCCCCATCGACACCGGCCTCACCACCAAATCATCGCTCACCATAAAAATCCCGTCCCCCTTCACAAAAACCCCCACCCCCCCCCCACATTATCGGCACCTCCAACCTCCCCCCACACGCACACTTCCCTCCCCCAACCGAACTCGCTCCGCAATACCTCGACTTCGAGCGCGTATAATAAGCCCTATGCGGCGTGTCGTCGACATTAATCTCCAAGCCCTCGCATTTAGCTCCGGCGACGCTCCGAGGATGGAGGAGCATCGCTTTGCAGGACGGAGACTGGAGGAATCGGGGATCGAGGTCGGAGACGCTGGAGTAGAGGCGATCGAGGGAGCCGAGGGAGGATTGGTTGTCGAGGAGGCGGACGATGGTGGCCATGGGGAGAGTGAGGAAGCTGAGGAGGATGTCGACGAAGCGGTGGTCGGACTCGGCGAAGACTACGCGGTTGCGGACCCTCTCGATGAGTAGGGTTAGGGTTACGGTCTCGGCCATGGCGACGGAAATTATTAGGGTTTTGAATTTCCAGAGAGAGAGAGAGCGAGAGCGATAGAGTGTGTGATGAGAAATTATTAGGACGAAAGACTTTGCGTTTGATTCGGCGACGAAGGACGACTGACGTCTTGGTAGGTCCCACTCCCTGTGCCAGCCAATTGGCAGTGCGGCACGCAGGCGAGGGGACCAAAAGCTAGCTAAGGGTTAATTGCATATTACTCCCTTAAATCATCCTTAATTGTCAAACATACCCTCATATTTCATCGGTGAACTACCAATAAAGTAATATTGCAAGGGAATTAGTTGACATGAGATAATTTGGTAATCAGATCTGACATTGCATCAACAGATGTTATTTTACAGAGAAAGCCCCCCCTTAACATTGAATTGAGATCCTCTACTCATGCATAGTACTTCCTAATATTTGCTAATGCATCTCCACCTTTCATTTTGTGGACAAGTACAAAGTGAAAGGTGGGGTCCACAAAATGAAAGGAGGAGATGCATTAGCAAATATTAGGAAACACTATGCATGAGTAGAGGATCTCAATTCCTTAACATTGCTCAATTATCAAACAACCCCCCATAACTTTCAAAGTACCAGAAAACCCCCCTTTAAGTTAAAGGTCAGTAGAAAACCCCTTTCAACCTTAACATTCTATCACCAAACTCCTCTAATAGTGTGAATCGCAGTTTTCACTAGGAAAAATATCTCTCTACGTAATTTTAATTTTACGTATCCATGTGAAAAGTCATGGTTGACACTGTTTTGGGGGTTTACTACAAAATCTATTGGAGGAGATCTTCTGATGACCCCTACGTGTAAGGGAGGCTTCCAATACTCTGAAAGTTATTGGGGCTTATCATAAAATTGCTCGCTACTTTATGAAATTGAAAGCAAATAGTATATCCTTCTTTTCTATTTCCAAATATGATTAGGATACCCACTCATATTGTTACTAGGACACCTGGTACTCTATAAATAAAACGAAAATAAGCAGGAGCGATCCCAAAGAAATTAATTAAAGGGTGATATTTTTTTTTTAACTGGGTTTTTTGCAGCATCATCAATAATATCATGGACGCGTTCAAGTTCTCAGAGGAAGAAGAAGATTCTTACTTTACGCAGACGCCCGAGGAATGCGTCGGGCTTGAGCTTCTTCTCATCATCAATGGAGGTGAAGCAACAGCATCATTGACTCGGAATAAAGAAGAAGATCCAGAGAGAGAGGATTTGGAGATGAAGAAGAAGAGTTTGGAAATTAACAAGACAACAAATTATGCTTCGGTCCTCACGTAAGTTTCTTCGTAATCTTTCGTCTGTGGAAATTAAAACAGTACTGTATTTTATCTCAGGCTATAGTTTTAACAAAAGCTTTTGATTTGATTCTATCTTCTTGATGTATATAAACTCTACTCTGGTTTCTTATTTGGGACTTGATCATGATCCTAGGACTTGGACACATATATTTATGTTAACAAGGCCTTGTAAGCAATATTTACGAATCTATGTGGTTATCTCTTTTTTCTTGTAATTTTCACATAGATTCATAACCGTGCGACTAAACTATTTATAGTTTTCTTCCCTACTCCATCAAGATCAAGAAATTAAAAAAAAAAAATTCTCTTCTTGGAAAAAAAAAGAAGAAATATTATATATGCTTTTGCCAGTTGACTGCCAAAAGGAGATAATATTACATGGTGACTGGTTGAGGAAACTTTCTACAATATAAAGTTGAGGGGATGGAAATTATTAAAGTGTTGAAAGCAGAGAGGATGGAGGATGAAGATTAGTGTAGACTTGGCATTTCAGTTTTAAATTTTCTGTATATATATGCTATTTGGGTTTAAATATAATTTATTTGGATCGTTTGGGTTTAAGAGTACATTTGCAAGTTGGTGGGTGTAAAGATAAATCAAGGGAAAATTTTGGGTTTGAAAGGGAAAAAACACCTATTTTCAAAGTCCAGGGGGCTTAATCTCGAGGTTATGTGAAATTGACCCTTTTTCTGATTTTGTACTAAATGATGGACCCTTATGCGGAGTCTCTTATAGAAAGAATTGCTTTCATTTATGCAACCTTTGTCAAACTTTTGAGTTTAGTTTTTTTAGTTGCATATGTTTCATAAAACTAGCGACGTGCGGAGTCTCACCCTCACTGTTATTTAAAAATAAATGTATCTGTAGTAATTTACAAGAGAACCAAAGAAGAACAGTGATTTGAGTTAAATTTTCTGAAATCACAAAACGTGTTCAAGTTCTCTGAGTCCGAAGGTTATTTCTTTAACCAGAGATGGCGAGAAACAATTCTTCTTCACGATGAACTGCCTCAGGGGTCTCGCTTAACGAATAACCTTGGACTCAGAGACTTGAAACACGTTTTGGTGATTTCAGAATGAATTTAACTCAAATCACTGTCTTCTTTGTTCTCTTGTAGATGGCGAGAAACAATTCTCTTCACGATGAACTGCCTCAGGGGTCTGCTTAAAGAAATAACCTTCGGACTCAGAGAACTTGAACACGTTTTTGTGATTTCAGAAAATTTAACTCAAATCACTGTTCTTCTTTGTTCTCTTGTAAAATTACTACAGATACATTTATTTTTAAATAACAGTGAGGGTGAGACTCCGCACGTCGCTAGTTTTATGAAACATATGCAACTAAAAAAACTAAACTCAAAAGTTTGACAAAGGTTGCATAAATGAAAGCAATTCTTTCTATAAGAGACTCCGCATAAGGGTCCATCATTTAGTACAAAATCAGAAAAAGGGTCAATTTCACATAACCTCGAGATTAAGCCCCCTGGACTTTGAAAATAGGTGTTTTTTCCCTTTCAAACCCAAAATTTTCCCTTGATTTATCTTTACACCCACCAACTTGCAAATGTACTCTTAAACCCAAACGATCCAAATAAATTATATTTAAACCCAAATAGCATATATATACAGAAAATTTAAAACTGAAATGCCAAGTCTACACTAATCTTCATCCTCCATCCTCTCTGCTTTCAACACTTTAATAATTTCCATCCCCTCAACTTTATATTGTAGAAAGTTTCCTCAACCAGTCACCATGTAATATTATCTCCTTTTGGCAGTCAACTGGCAAAAGCATATATAATATTTCTTCTTTTTTTTTCCAAGAAGAGAATTTTTTTTTTTTAATTTCTTGATCTTGATGGAGTAGGGAAGAAAACTATAAATAGTTTAGTCGCACGGTTATGAATCTATGTGAAAATTACAAGAAAAAAGAGATAACCACATAGATTCGTAAATATTGCTTACAAGGCCTTGTTAACATAAATATATGTGTCCAAGTCCTAGGATCATGATCAAGTCCCAAATAAGAAACCAGAGTAGAGTTTATATACATCAAGAAGATAGAATCAAATCAAAAGCTTTTGTTAAAACTATAGCCTGAGATAAAATACAGTACTGTTTTAATTTCCACAGACGAAAGATTACGAAGAAACTTACGTGAGGACCGAAGCATAATTTGTTGTCTTGTTAATTTCCAAACTCTTCTTCTTCATCTCCAAATCCTCTCTCTCTGGATCTTCTTCTTTATTCCGAGTCAATGATGCTGTTGCTTCACCTCCATTGATGATGAGAAGAAGCTCAAGTGGAGATGAAGAAGAAGGTCGAAAGAAAGAGCATCGATTTTATTTCTCTAGACAGACGCCTGACGGAGTCCTTGATGATGCTGAATCGTTTCTTGATGGAGGAGGAGATCACAGAAGACGATGGTGGATATTTAACAGTTCAGAGCTCACACAGACGCTTGAGGAATTCGTTGGGCGAGAGCTCATCTCCTTCGACAACCGGAGAAAATAGCGAGGAACTCTCAGAGGAAGAATCGAAAGAAGAAGAGGATGAAAAAGATGAAGAGGATATTGATTCTTTTTTTTGCGCAAGCAGTTGAAGAAATTCCTTGAGCTAGCTAGAGCTCCGTTTCTAACATCAATATGTTTGCATAGGTTTTTATGGTCTGTGTTGTTTTTTCTTCTTCTTTTCTTTTCGTTTAGAGTAGGTAGAACAGTTTTTTTAACGTCAAGCGTAACAGTTTGTTTCAGAAAGAGTTCAATGAAATTAGTTTGATTCTTTTTTTTGCAGAAATGTAAGGGGACAGTTTAATTATTGTTTGCAAGCACAAGTGTTCTTCATTGTTTTCCCCCCACAAGTGCTCTACGTGAAGAGAATTTGTGGTATGAAAATTGCATTTAAGCCCCTTGAATTTTAACTGCGTTAACAGGTGAAACTGGCGAAGTCCCACAGATGTGACTAGCAGAACGAAGCCCATAATACCGCCAGGTCTTTATGATATATGCATGCATAGAGTCTTATTATAATCTCCCATCATCTTAATACTACAGTACTACTCTCGCTCAAACACGCTTGAAGGTGGAGCCTAATGGAATCCGCTGCATTGGTGTCGATAGATCACACACTGGAACCATAGTTCCTCAAACAGTTGTAGGAGGATTTTGTACTGCACTGTACAGCTTAAAGAAAAATACAGAATGAAAGGAGACGTGGAAAGGCCTGTTAACGCAGGAATAGGAATTGATCTTCATTATC